CATGCTTTGGACCCTATAGCCCGAGGTTCAAGCCCCCCCCACCGCCACCCAACTTTGGTGGTAAATTGCTTTGCTCTCGTCTGGTTTAATACCACGCCTAACCTATCGAGGCCTTGTGTGGTTCGCCACTCTAAGTCCCAGGCCTTAGGTCAACGCTTTCCATCACTGAACAGTAGGTTCTCATGACTATGGGGTTTATCCCGTCCGCTCTTTATCACACACAAGGTTTGTAATAAAAAAGGGTTACTTACTGATGCAATTAAGCTATCATTAAGTGAACTACGAGCGGGGATGGTGAATTCTTTTACCAAAACTGGATTGAGATTGCGGTAAAGTAAACTCGGCTGGTCTAGATACGTACTGTCTCGTTTTCAAAGATGTCCGTGCACAACAGATAGAAGGCAGTCATGTTTTGAAGGGCTGAGACCATGGGTGGGTTGTTATACTACTCGGTCGCCCGGTTAACAGAACATCTTGTACGAGGATGAACTCTAACGGTTTCACAAGTAACCGCAAATCGGGAGTTATCATCATTGTTCCGAATAAACCGGTGGTTAGCTGCATAATTCATTCGCCTCTATCGGAAAACGTTTTCAGGCTACGACAAGGGGCCATATTTAGTAAGGTACACTACTATGTCGCAATGCTGATTACAGACACATGTGATGCTTTGTGTGGAGAACCTTTGCCATACAGTTAACCCACCACTTGCTCGAGCACTGCCGCTGATCGTCTTTGATTGCTTAATCAGTGAGCCTGATACAACACCCTATTCACGATGTGAATGGTTCGCCTGTGCGCTCGGTAGTACAAAGTTACATGGGATATATTGCAATCAATTGAAACACTATATTATTCATAACCACCCTCTAGAACCTCTGACTTTGGGAGAAGAAATGGAAATAGGCCAACTTAAAGATCACTCATTGCCAGCTGTCCACCTCCTAAACTGCTAGTACCGGTATCGGGAATCGGGGGTATATTCAAATGGCCACTAAATACATTCTATGCTTACGAAAGCACAATGTCTGGTCAGCAAGCGCGGTTCATCTCAAGACATTCCTGCAAGTGTGCAGTTTATTGCAGACGGGAGTTGAAATGTCCTCCTTTTCTCTGGTAAACATAGTGCGCATGCATCGCTTTTCAAGAAGGAGTTCGCGGTCAATAATGAAACTGAATCGTGACATGGTGCGATGGCTCGCGTGCTACCATGACCCTGCGAGCTATGCAGGATGGATGCTCAAAACCACGGATCCAATCATACCTGAAAGGTCATTGGATACGGGCCGGAAAACGTTCAGTTTCAGAAGGCCAGCTGCATGCGCGCACCTCCTTGCTTCGTCTGACCAGCTTCTCTCGCGCCTGGAGAGGTCACCAACAGGGAGGAGCAGTTTAAAGACAGCAGCAAAAACCGCCGCATCAAGGTGCGTGTTTAATGGTGGTCAATAACTGAAAATGGTCAACAGTATCTTACCCGAGGTAATCAAATCAAGACCGTTTCCCGAGGGGAAATTGTTTATCGACAGGCTTCTCCATTTACCAATTGTTAAATATGCTCGTGAATTGCTTGGTGATCAAAGCCAGCCATGGAAAATGGTATTGAAAAATAACGACTGTGTGAAGGTGTTTTGAACTCTGAGCAGTACAACGATGTTGATCAGTGTAATGGTAAATGTTCAACATCCTTGGATGTGATCTGATACCTAATAGTTCTATTTTCATATTCCACATATGTCGACTTGGAAGATGAATCCGCATTTGAATGGTATCTCGTTCTAACGCAGCACTGTATTGGTTACAAGATCGATATCTTTTTCATTTGTTCCATCCATTTGTCTCACACGTCCAGCATTTGCCACACACTGTAAACAGCATGCATTGGCGAACCAGAGAAATCGAGTAGAGACCACACTCAGGTTTCCAAACAGCAGATAGCCACAACAATCCCAGATATCAAGCAACTTAAAGCAATTTCAGACTACTTATTGTGACACCATCAAACGTAAAACTCAGAGTTAAATAACTGAATTGCCTGAAGAACATTTCTGTTTCTAGATGGTCATATATAAAAACGGAAATCGAACGGTTCATTTCTGTCCCCACCGAGATAGTTCTGTGAATGGAATTTCGCTGGATAACTCAACAAACTCAAACTATATTGAATGCTTAGTACCTCACTGCGACACGAAAAGTTTATTTTTCAGTATTTTTACACTGAAACTCACGTGTTTTTGCTGAACTGAAACATTCGCCCGCTTTCTCAAACCGACACACACATTCGTCGCACACATGGTGAGTCTTCCTCTGCGACCGAAAGGCAAACTACATTCGCTGAAACACGTTCCCAGACTGTACTCCCATGTGCAATGAATAGCCCCTTCATGTGCGATTGGTAGGGAATGAAACAAGAATAGCTCAAATTTCGTATCTTCTCCCCACGAACTGTTTGCCGCTCTCTTCCTCCTCATCCGATTTCCTTAGCTCTGTTGCTTGGAATGTCAAATTAGTTGTGTTTCGGGTAACCAATTGGATTTATTTTTATGGTCGCCGGGCCGCCATGACCACCACTGCCATCGCCATTAGCAACGTGATTCAAGAGTTGTGTATATTCCGGTTAACTAATCCTGCATGTGATCTGCCAAAGGATAATGCTCATGAGATCCTCCATCGACGCGTTACAGGTAAAAATCTAGATACTAAAAGAAACACTAGGGCGTCAACGCACGCACGGGATAGAAACAAGTCATAAAAATTGTGGCCATGGTATTACTACTGGGTACACCGACCTCCCATCCAGTGTAATCCTACCATTTGGAACAGGTGATAGATTCCAAATTAGAGAAGAATTTCATTGATCACTAAAAGATAGGATGATTTTGAATTACTGATCGATCATTTTGTGGGCGTGTGGTTATGGTGTCTGTCTTACTTTTTCCATTGCTAATTGTTTGTATCTGTCACCGGTCGTGTTCTGGATCAACACTCCTTGTCTGCACTTATCAGCACCATTCACCATAGATGGATTGTCTCGGATACCAGATCAGTAGTATCGCTCTTCCAGGTTTGCCTACTCTCTCCTGACCACCGGGTTTGACTAGCACTGATATTCCTGTGTGACATAATCATGACATTTTCTCATCAAATTATACCAGTAATTCCTATTTTTCTTAAGTCCTCGTGAGCCTTTTGTTTCAAACAAACAAGCATCCTATCAGTGTTTTGTCATTTCCTTGTTTTCTATTCTTTTCTCCCGTGTAAGGTTGTGGAATTATTGAATCAGCTGTACACCCTTTTTGATGATATTATCGGCAATTTTGATGTTTACAAAGTGGAAACTATCGGAGACGCATACATGGTTGCTTCCGGTTTACCCAAACGAAACGGGCTCGAACACGCACGTGCCGTGGCTCGAATGTCGATCGCATTCCTCAAGGCCATATTTGAATTTCAAATACCGCATCGACCAGATAAACGCTTAGAATTGAGGATTGGAATTCACTCCGGTAAGGGTGTTCACGACCGATGACATTTTTTTATTCTCATGTTATTTGTTTTAATACAGGCAGGAGGCCAAAGATGATTTCAGTGATCCACTCTAATATGTCCATTGGAAAGCGCTGAGCGAAGGTTGAAGCCGTACTTTCATTAGTCCTCATCCTGATCCTCCATCGATTTGGTTCAATCGTTCTCACTCGAGAGAAGCTAAGGCGTGCAGTCCAGGGCTTCTATAATGAGGTCATCGCCCTAGGTCACAAATTATTTTGTCAACTGGTAGACTCCTACTGGTCTGTCCATCATCGGAGTCGAGGAATGTCATGTGCATTTTCCATGGTGACAGAACCGTAGCTCAGGTTATGAATACTCGTGGCCATTTTTTATACACGTTGCTTTGTTTTTTCTTCCGAATGTTCTACAAATAATGACAAAACTTTTGGTGATGGACAAACCAGGTTTGAGGAACAGACCACCACTAAGTGCACCAATCTCCATTTGCACAGATTGAATTTACGCACGAATTGGTGAGATGATTTTCAGGATTCATTCATTTAGGAGTCAGGCGATGCCCGTTACATTTCAGTGAAACAACACGTATGTTTCACCGTAAACCTGTGAAGCACTGAACGATAGCCAAGTTAGTAGACAGCCAGGTAGGGAGGTAGGTAAAGTAAAAAAGGCAGGAGATAGATATTCACTAACCCTGCTGTTCTGTTTTCATAGTAACTTGTTATCACGAACCCACAGCACTGTCAGTTGTCACAATGACCATTTGGGCATTCGAACTGAAACTCTCCGTTTCTCTAGAAGCATGCATAAATCCAAGCGTTTAATCGATTTGGCCGGAACTTATGATTGCATTCGTCAGCGGATTCTAACCATTCGTCGTCTCAATTTTCGAATCAGTTTATCGCCACCCTGTTTTGATCTATATGTTCGATTTGACCCAATCATTAACTGGTTCAGTTATTATATTTTACCGCCCTCATCGGAATTGACATATTGAATCATCAAGTGAAGTGTCAATTTCTACGATTTATTTGTTTAGCCCGACCGATGCAGTGGTTATCAAATGACTTCAACGCCCCTTTTCGAAAGGCTCGTTTCAAATCAGTTGACAAACCTTGTCATAATTATTTCATGTTTTGGTTTCTACTCCTTGTGGTTGTCACGGCAATTTATCCCAAATGGTCATACAGACTTGAATTAATAGATATTTTTCTCAATTGAAGGTCCTACGAACTATCTTTAACACCGGACATTGGCATGCAGGTGAAAGACCGTTGACAGTATTCGCTCAAAGATGTTCGCTCTTTCGGAGTACTCTCTCCATGGGACCACCATATTGAAGATCGTTACCCGAAAACTTATATAGCTTTAAAAGCGATTAACTAGTTGATCATACCTGAGAGTAATGGGGGATTCGATATGACCACAAAGTGAATTTCTACATATGCAGAGCAATTGAAGCGTGAAGTTAAACTCCATGGATTATTGTACAAATGACCCGACCTGGTTGAGTTTCATCATCAGTGCGAATCCGTCGTATCCGAGACTTCATAGGTAGAACGCAAGTGTAATATCCGCGTGTTCACCGGGCAGCTGATCAGACGGTTTCTTTAATGTGATCTATAAGTGGTTAGCTCTATCAAACGAAGTTTGTGTCATTAAATCGATTTGAAGCAAGTGACAAATGCCGTTATATATTTCCCCTCATTAAGGATGTAATATGTTGACCATCGAGTACGCACTGTAGTTTTTGTCAGGGTTTCTGGAGGTTTAATTACGTACCGTGAATTTTGTATAAAACAGCCGTCTTTAAAACAGCTAATTTGAGATATTGAGCTTTCGAAGAAAGAAGATTGCACACATCAAGGTCGACATCTTGAATTCGCTCATCCATACGTAACTATGTGTTTTCAATTACCTGCTCCGGTCGATTGAGATATTGTTCTTGTCGTTGCTGTTCATGATGACGCCTGTGATGGTTGGTGAAATAACCACACAACAACTTATCCAATCGTTATCATATGAACAAAGTGAACTTATTGGGTGGGTTCCACGTGATATCAGTTTTTAGTCCTATTTGTTCCAACGATTTTCATTCATTCTCTTGCGGCCATATTCCCATAATTCGACCAGTCTGCTGTGTTTGGGTGAAATGAGAATAAACAATCAACTTCATGATAACGACGAAGTTGGTCACATACGAGACTTTAATATATATTGGTCACAATAATCTTGTTTGCAACACCGGGTGACTTTTGGGTAGACAGCTCTTTCAGAGTCAGTTCATTGAAGAATCAATGCTGTCTATCCACAAGTCACCGGGTGTTGCAAATAAGGTTGTTATGACAAAAATCCACTTTCTAGGCACAAGTATATGGATGAACTGACAAAAGATTACCGGATACGCATGCCTGACGAGTGTCAAGAACCGCGAAACCGGTCATGTGCTTCCAGGGAAATTGTGTTCAGTCATTCATACACTACTTATTATGAAATATATACACATGTCTGTCTATGAATCGAATCAGTACATTTCGGATATGGATGGCGAAATTCGCTCTGACAAAACATGTCTAAGCCTAGTTAGTAAAATTCGCAACTGACACTTCTTAGTATATTTCCGTCTTTTATATAATTTTTCTGTACTATCCTGATTAATTCTCAGACTATCTGATGGTAGTAATACACGTGACAATTTAAGTGAAATTACTGGCCTGAGATTGATACGACGGAGTTTACGAATAATTCACCTGTACATCAGTTTCACTTCCATTTATTTCCTTGCACTAACTACACTACCGTGCTAGTGATATGAGAATAGTTGAACATATTCCATGAACCACCGCTACGGAATCCATTTTGACTCTACAAGATTCAAAGGCATCGCCAGTGATAAACGCAGTCCAACCAAATCAACGGGAAACAACAGACGGTGTGAAGTAACAAGCGAATTCTTTATTACAGCAGCGGATACAGTAGTCGTGAGCAGCGGACTGGGCAGCAGGCAGAAAACATTGCAGCCAGTAATGATTTGGAACAGGTGTGAAGTTGGTTATTGATCGATCACCTCTTTCACTCGATAGGCAGATATGCCATCGTTTGACTCAATATCACTCCTGGATTAAGGGTTTCATGTGATTTGTTTTCCCAAGCCCGGGAGCTTCGGTTGTCGGTTTCTATGACTGAATAGTAGATTCTCCTGACTGTGGGTCTTATCTCCTTCTGTTATTCACCGCACAAGGGTATGCAACTAAATTTTTGTAAACATATGTTAAGCAACCTAAAATGCACATGCGCAGGTACGATGACTTTGGTCGCATACGAGCGTTCAATTTCGAACTACGAAATGTCTCATTTGTGCCTCCCCCACCT